AGAAAACCAAGGAAACCTTCTAGAAGGTTCCCCAAACCATCAGCTAGTAAAAAGGCCTGCAATGGGCCGGCCCACATAGGAACTACAGCAGGCATTGCGTACCAATTGGCTTGTATTTGGTGCATAAGCGCCAAACCACTAAAATTGTCTTACAATTTTTTGACCTGTATGGCATCACATATTAAAACCGTGATGTAGTTTTATGTAACTATTGGATATAGCTCTAAAATTACCATAAATTTTAGTTGTCAAAAATACCATTGTGATTGGGAATATTTGAAAGGAGATGTCAATGGAAAAGCTTCCTTTCTTTCGAGATAGCTAGAGAGTGATCTTTCTAGCGTTAATATAATATATTGAGTCTGAATTTTCCTCAGAAAAGTTATTGACCCGGAGCCTATTAGAAGGCAACACGGAATTTACCACGTGGTGGCTAATATTAAGGAATCCACCATTGGCAATGTGACTATGCTGCTCTCACAACTTGTCATGAAAATATATATACCAAACAACACAATTAGCAATTGAGGCACCAAGATAACTCCTCAGAACTTTGCTCTACAACAAACTGCTGAAGATCTTTAGTGGTTGATGTTGGAATTGATCTCTAGTTATAACAAACCAGGAGAGAAGAAGGGAACTAAACCTCCCACATATGTGCCTTGGTCGGGGGCACCGAACCAACGACTTGGGCTTGGTCCCGCCTCTCTAGCACACAATATAAAAAGAAAAATAACACTTCCCGTTGGACAGTAATGATCTCGCATGGCAGGCTACGTCCCCTATCTAAAAACCAATCCTAAGGCCTTGTTCGGTTACACCCCTCCACAAGAGGATTGGAGGGGATTTGGGGAGGTTTTGACTTGTAGAGGATTAAATCCACTTCAATCCCTGTCAAACCCCTCTCAACCGAACACAGCCTAACGAGGTGCTAGAGGAGACAAAAGTTGTTTCCACGGCAGCTGTCGCAAGGTCAGTGCTGACATCGTTGCTGCTACTCATCACGTAACTCTGATGTTTCCCTTCTTTCCCGACCATCTCCTCAGCACTGGAGGACCCAAGGTGCAGCCACAGGATACCCTGAGGCTCAGCCAATTCTGCTTAGTTCCCCTATTTTCGCATATATTAAGGTGTTCAAATCACGAGACTCCGACTAGGTTTTATGTTAATACCAAAGGAATTAATCTGACAATGTCAAGGCACTCTAAGCCGATGCCATTAGGAAGCTAGAAATCTGACATTACTCATTTTTTGAATAAATACACCTAAAGGGCATAATAAATTTGATAAATATCAAGGAAAACAAAGGCCAATACAATGGGTAGACAACTGGGCGTAGGAATAAAAAATACATTAAAAACATACTAGTCTTCTTCTTCCTTTGATTGAGCGTCACCTACTAGAGTTTGAAAATTGCACCGAACAACAGTAAAGAAAAGCGACACCTATGAACACCCTCACCAACCATACGAGGCTTTGAAGATCACAACAACCACTTGCCCCTTGAAATGAGATCTAAAAATCGTTGAAACAACATCGCCAGGAGCATCATCCCATGCAGAACAGACTTGCAATCCATCACCTCCAGCACAGAGGGCGGAGAGACCGCTCTGAGCCACATAGCAACATGGAAGAAGATGTCGTAGTCGCCACACCAATAGCCAGCCAAAATCTCTCCTTGAAAGACACATGAACTGCCAAAGTCTGAAGGGAAACAACATACCTGGGGACACAAGCTCTCACAAGCCCTTCATCGGCGTCAGACCGGACGTTGTTGAGGTAGGGAGAGACCGGAGATACCTTATTCGAATACGCCATCGTCGCCACCACCTCATCGATGTCGCTGGAGAAAAAAACCCTAGGAAAAATAAAATGAGATGGACGGGTCCCCACTCCCCCCCTCTTGTCGCCGACGAGGCCGCCAGGCGGAGAAAAGGAGGGGGCCGAGGAGGTGGCGGGAGGTGTTGCGGTGGCGGCTAGGGTTGGGAGGCGTCTGCTTTGGCTTACGCGTAGTCCTGCATCGCACCAGGATTAGAGAGGAAAATCAGACATTACTCAAGTCAATTAATTGCTGACAGATCTTTAGTGCTTGACATATCGATGTCCATAGAATCCATGAGAGCCGAAGTGGCTACCAAAGCAAGAATCACACTAACGAAGAATAGCCATGAAAATGTGCACTAGTGTTGCGCCTCCAAGAACTGTACCTGAAAATGGCAAAGCACTCCCTCACCCATGTGGTTAATAACCACGGTATCTTCCTGTGACGGAAGAGGGGGTTTAGATACCATCCCCAACAAAAAGATATCCATATCTTGAATGGTTAGATTCTTTGTCGTGGAACCAATCCATCCTTGTTCAAGTCCTGCAGGGACGGGGTGTGTGTGTGCGTCGTGCGCGCGTGCGTGGGTGTGCGTGCGTGCGTGCGTGCGTGCGTGTGTGTGTGTTAGAGCAACTCTAGCAGACCTCGCAAAAACTTGACCCGCAAAACGCGTTTGTAGTTTCACGAAGATCGCGTTTGCGGGTTGAGAACTAGCGCGGCCGAACAGATACTGTAAAACAAACTGTAAAACTGGAATAAAGAGCTCCTTCCTTCAGTCCGGCCGTTGCCGTCCCTTCCTCCAGCCGGCCACGCCCAACCCCATCGGCCGCGCCCCGTCGCCCGCAGGCCATGCCCCGTCGCCCGTCGGCCGCGTCCCATCGCCCATCGGTCGCGCCCCGTCCCTGCCGGTCGCGCCACATCACCACGCCGGTCACGCCCAGCCTCGCCGGCCACGCCCCGTCGCCTCCGTTGTCCGCGCCCAGCCTTGCCGGCCACGCCCCGTCGCCTCCGTCGTCCGCACCTTGCTCTATTGCCAGGCGAGTCGTGCCCCTTTGCCTGCCGCGTTGGGAGGATTCCGGCGGCCAGGCTGAGGTCATGGGAGGCCACGACGATGTCGAGCTCGTCCAATTCGAACCGACGGCGATCGATTGCGGCGTCTAGCGGCCTTTTCCGATGTGCGGTGATGAATTCCGACGAGTTTAGGGCGGATTCCGGCAAACTCCGCGGCGGCGTGTTTGCTCCGACGAGGTTTGACCGGTATACGGCCCCCCCTATATTCGGCCTTCCAACCTCCAAAGATAAGGGTTTCGGGTGTGCATTTGCGGTGGCCCTTAAAAAATTTACGGGTTAGACTACTTTTACGGTTTCTGTTCTGGACACTTTTTTCGTCCAAAACTGTAAAACGCAATTTTTTTGCGGGTTTGACCACTTATGCGGGGGTCTGCTAGAGATGCTTTTAGTGTCCATGTTTCTCAAAACAAAAAGGCAGCCAACATACATACATACATACATGGTTATAATTGACGAGAGTCCCCTCTACCACTATTTGCAGCTTGGCCTTTGGCCATGATATCCTCAAGTTGAAGGGGTTGTCAAGGTGGTCTAGGCATCATGAACAATAGGATCCAAATTTTATTCCTCCTCACCAAATGAATTTGGAAGATATCCCAACATTCTTCCTCGTGTTTGGAAAGCCAAATACTTTCCAAAAACACGTCCCTTTTTCTCTCCCCGTGTTCAAGTTTGCAATTTTGGAACGATCTTCGGAAACGCAAGGAAATGCGGGAGAGGAGGAGAGAGAGAGGTCTTCTATTTATTTATTGGATAGGTCTCACTTGTAAGGAGAGTTGACATGGCGTTGCCCCAGTCAAAACCGAGCGGGGTTTTTCTCCGGAACAGTGTGGCAAGTTAAGAGTGTGGGATAACTGGTTTTGAAGTTGAGGTTTAAATTCAAACTGAATGACAAGTTGGGAGTTTAATGTGGACTTTTCTCTGCAAGTGATGTTTTGATCCCGTGCTCACATACACCTTGGCGAATAGTAAAAGTAAGATTTTTTTATGAACACTAATGAATATTTCACTTGCGTGTAAAATTCCGTGATGAAATAACATTCGTGGAGGTTTGGGGGAGATCGACACTCCAAAATGTGTCAAAAAGACCAAAACTAGTCTTCTCGAAGCATATTTTTTTCAGACCTCCACGAATGTACATCCATCATGACATCTGCATGTAGATGAAACATTCGTCAATGTTTATCATATTATTTTTATTCTTTTGGATTTTACTGTTCACCCAAGTGCATGTGAGCTTAGGAACAGAAACTCCATGTCCATTTTTCTCTCTCTTTTTAATACATCTTCTTTTCCTAGATATCTTTTAAATGAATCGTGATACCTCGACTTCATGATTAATCACAATTCTCTGCATGAGAAAGGTCAATGCCCACAATAACACATGTACATGGTGAACCACTAAGCCGCCACGAATTAGGAGTAGCGTCCATGCACCGGAGCTTGCCGCCCCTAAGCCACTACATGCTCTCCACTACGACGATACCAAGTACGCACCACCCAAAGTCAAATACTAGTTGATTCATTTCCCTTTCTTTTAAGCGTCCCGCGCGTATGTATTGCGCCAGCTCGCCAGTTCAGTTCGTGCATGCACCGCAGCCGGAGTAGCTAGCCCATCCTAGGAGCGCACGACAACGCCCAGCCCACCATGCACTCCGCCGACGAGCCCGTGTCTGTCCCCGCCGTGAGCACTACGGCGGCAGCGGAGGACGGCGGCAAGAGCCCGGTGTCGCCGTCGATGGAGGAGGAGCGGCAGATCCCCGTGGACCCGGTCTCTCTGCGGCACCTGGGCATGGTGGCCGACCCGGACTCGCCGCTCTCCGCGCCGTCCGTGCTCACGGAGGTGGTCGCGCAGTCGTCCCCGCTCCTGCCGCCGCTGCGCCGGCCCACGTTCGTCGGGGCCAGCCAGCCGTGCTACGCGACCTCCTCCCCGGTCCACAGCGCCACGGCCAAGCGGGACGAGCCCGCCGCGCCCAGACTCGCCACGGTCACCGCCCTGCGTTCCCTCGCGCGGCAGCACTCCGCCGCGCTCGCCAGCTACGCCGCCTCGCCGTCGGCGGCTCCCACCACGCTCTCGAGGAGCGCGTCCCGCGCCGAGGGCAGGTCCATGGCGCCGCACGACGACGAGGTCCCCGTCCCCTACGTCGAGGCTGCCGACGAGGACGAGCAAAGCTTCACGTGCGGCGTGCTGTGCATGTTCATCCCGGGCTTCGCAAAGAAGAAGCCGGGGTCGCCCTCCGCGGCGGCCGTCGTGTCGAGCATACAGAGGCAGCATTCCGGGGCGAGGCGGCGGAGCAGCGTGTCGCGGATGGCGGAGCTGGAGAGGTTCGAGTGCGGGTCGTGGAGCCCGCCACCGCCGCCGCATCCGGTGAGTGTTGTGCCGACGCACGTCGACATGGACTTCGCGATGGAGGTGCCCAAGATCAGCTGCGCGGACGACACGGACTTGCCGGTCAAGATGGCGTTCGTGTTCGAGGGCGAGGCGAGGGGGGCACTGAAGAAGTCGGCGTCGGATTCGCGCCGGCATGAGCCGGCGTCGCCGGCCAAGACGGCGTCCGCGTTCGACGGCGAGCCGAGGGGGATCCTGAAGAAGTCGGCGTCGGCGTCGCAGCGGCAGGAGTCGGCCCCCAGGACGTCGTCCGCGTCGCAGCGGCACGTGAGGTTCTCGACGGCCGCGGCGCCTCCGGCGTCGTGCCCGACGTCGCCGTGCATCACGCCGCGGCTGGCGATGGCCAGGGCCGAGTTCAACGCCTTCTTGGAGGCGCAGAGCGCGTAGATAATTCGCCATGCACGGTGCATGCCTGTTTTTTTTCTCTTGGATTTGCTTCGTGCTTGTTCGCGAGTGGCAGCTGCGCGCTCGAGATTGCTAGACGCTTCCGGCGTGTTCTATTTTTTGTTCGATTGTCCATATTCCAATCGACCAATTCCCGACGACTTGGGGTTTTTACGATAGATTGAGACAGATGTGTGTTCCACATCGATCTTGTCATGCCGTGTGAAAATCAGCTCTTGTTAAAATGTGATTGAAAACCGTAAAAAGGTAATCAAATGGCTCCCCGCCCCAATTTCATCTCATGAAACTTTTTTTGCGGGTAAAACTTCCATCTATTCATCAAACATCATGACAGCAAAGAACATAGAAGTAACAAAAATTGCATCAATGTATGTAGATCATCTAGCGACGACTACAAGCACGTAAGCGAGCTAAAAGCACGTTGCTATCATCGCCCCTCCCTCGCGGGAGCCAGACAAGCCTTGTTGTGGTTGACAATGAAGAAGTCGTCATGCTACGACCCTAAAGGAACAATACATCGGAACAACCACCCTGCCCATGAAGAAAAGTGTAGATCGAAGTGTTCCAACCACTAGACACAAAAACACAGATGAACAAAGACTGAATCC